TATTTATTCTCAACACTCTGAAACTCTCGCTTCAAAGCAGCAGTCTTGTGTCCGCCAATCCTAAACCATTATATCATAATCATTACCTAATTCTAATCAAGCCCTTGTATTGAAAGATCTATCTTAAACCAGAATCCAAAAACCTCATAAATGGTACATTGTCCTTCCCACGACAAAATGCTATTAAAACTTTGTTGAGGAAGAAAGCTTCCTTAACCATGGTAAGCAAGCAACTCAGTTTTGCCTTAGCAACAAGTCATTTTGGCGCTATTTTTAGGGAGCCACCATTCAGCAGTTGTAAGCATTCTTAGATGAATGTGCTCCTTCCTTAGTCTGATGATTATGACATGTAAGAGGGGTGTGTGCGCATGTGTATGTAATTCGATCCATAATAAGAAAAGTTTTTATATCTACTGTTAATGTGGCTGCTGCCTTTCACTGTTTCTTCTGTCATTACATTCATTCCTTACCCTATTGAACTTACCTTAAGCTTTCTTTTAAATGCTGTGCTTTCCATTCACTGTCCTTTGTTCTCCTGGTGTGCAGTGGAAAGTCTCGGGCATTCCATACATCTAAAAGTCTACAACCATGACCCTATGGCCACTAGACAGTTCACTGAAGATTGTCATAATCCTCCAGAAGGCCCTTCTCCTAATTAAGAGATCTCGCCCTAGTCACAGTAATGACCCTGCCCCAACCTGGCCAGTCCAGTAAGGTTAGTGTTGGCTCCACGGGAATTATTCTCTCTCTACAGACATGGTTACTCAGACTGCTTCTTGGCCTCTGAAATCAAAGAAGGCTGTGTTTTCCATGGAAGAACAGTGTTTCAGATCAATTTTGAATGGCTGCTTTCTAACCTAAGGAGTCTCAACCCAATGTTATTTCATTGCAGATTCCTGTTTCGTACTTTTAACCTCCCCTCAAGACCACCACCTCCCAACAAGTTGCCGCTTTTACAGGTTTATCTTTGCAACCTAATGTTTGCAGTAGCAAAGACCAGCACAGAAAGGTTTTTACACATTTTATGATCATGGAGTCTGCTGTGAGGATTGTAAATTATAAAATCATCATGGATCATTAAGCCCATGCTGCAGTTTTCCTTTTGGAAACCCAGAGATGAAGTGTTTAAAACAAAAGAACAATGTGAAGATGAAGCAGAAACAAAAATTGGTATCATTGGTGGGCTAACTTTTCAGAATGGCAGAAGATACTCATTTTTTTTTTTTAAATGAGGCAATGAGTGAAAAGAATGAGGGCAATTTACTAATGAATAGTTTTCTTGCCCTTTGTCTCATGCCTTTTTTAAACTTTTCCTTTTATCCTTTTTGTCTACTTTTTTTTTTTTTAAGTTAGTGTTTCATACATTTTGAAGTGGTGTAACTAAGGAGAGACCTCAACAAAAATATAAAAAGAAACAGAATAACAGGTAATAGCTGTGTTTTCTGCTATGGCTTTATAACTGTTAATTTATATTTTATATCACTTCTCCTAAGATAAATGAGAAACAGATTAAAAAAAGGACCCAGAACATTGAGATTTTTAGTAATCTAACCCACTCAGCAGAGCAATACATTGACAACAGTAGTGAAATATAGACTCTTTATTACATATTCCCGAATTTTAAAAATTAGCATGTTTCAAATATGTGTGCTCAGTCAGTTAAGCTTAAGTGTGTGCCTTTGGCTCAGGTCATGATCCCAGGGTCCTCGGATGGAGTCCCATGTCAGGCTCCTTACTCAGCCGGAAGCCTGCTTTTCCCCCTGCCTGCTGCTTCCTTTGCTTGTGCTGTCACTTTCTCTCTCTCTGACAAATAAATAAAATCTTAAAAAAAAATTCAAGTTCAGTCTAATAAGTTAGTGTATGCATGTTTGAATGCCTGTATTTACGCTATCATTATGAAGTGCTTTCCCTTGCAGAGAACAAGTGCATTTGTTTTTAATTTCTGATAAATTGGGCCGAGGGTTGAGTTTATTTAGTAAAATAATAATTCAAAGAAATGTATTCATTGGTATGTATAGTAGTTCCCCTCCTTGGCCACAGGGGATACGTTCCAAGATGCCCAGGAGATGCCTGAAACCACCAATGGTGTTGAGTATATACTATACATACTATGTTTCTTTTTTCCAGTATATCCTTATCTATGTCAAAATTTAATTTCTAAATTAGGCATAGTAGGAGATTAACAACAACAATAATAAAATTGAACAATTTTAACATTATACTCTAATAAAAATAACGTGAATGTGGTTTCTCGCCCTCAGAACATCTTATTGTACTATACTCATCCTTTTTGTGATGATGTGAGATGATAAAATGGCTACATGCTGTGACAAAGTGAGGTGAATGACATAGCGTTAGGCTACTACCGACCTTCTGATAAAATGTCAGAAGGAAGATCATCTGCTTCTGGACTGTGGAAAGTGAAATTGTGGATAAGAGGGAACTAGCTGATCATAATTATTATTAATAATAATCATAGGTATGGGGCGCCTGGGTGGCTCAGTGGGTTAAGCCTCTGCCTTCAGCTCAGGTCATGATCCCAGGGTCGTGGGATCAAGCTCCACATCAGGCTCTCTGCTTCACGGGGAGCCTGCTTCGTCCTCTCTCTCCTGTCGGCCTCTCTGCCTACTTTAACTTGTGATCTCTGTCTGTCAAATAAATAAATTAAAAAAATAATAATCATAGGTAGGCTTTATCCAGATATGATAGCTTATTATCCTATCAAGTAGATTATACACTTCTTAGAGAGTGCATCTTATAACCCATTATTTCCCCAGTTATTTAGCATCTTGTATATAGTAGGTGTTCATGAAAATGTTTACAGTGTTTAAAAAAATAATACGGGGCTCAATAGGGAGCTCCAAGCCAGCAAACCAAGACTTACAGAAATGCAATTTAAATACCATCTGGAATTTCCTGATCAGCACTAGTGTATCTGCGTGATAGACCCCCATGCAAAGGAAGGTTACCTTGCCTAAAACAGTTCTTTCTTTTCTTTTACTAGCAACTTTTGTGTCTTGCCTTGTCTCTGCCTATAAGTCTTCCATTTTGTACAGCTCCTTGGAGCTTACTTCTCTTTATTAAATGGGATGCAGCCCAATTCATGAATCATTGATTAAAGCTGATTAGATCTTCAGAGTTACTCAGTTGAACTTAGTTTTTTAGCATTATTATTTCTCTTCATTGTACTTGCTCAGGCACTTGGGCAACTAACTGTCTCCTGTTTTGTGGCTGGTTTGACAAGCCTCTACCTGAGGCTTCTGTCCCTGGCATGATGTCCCTGGCAGTTTCCACCCACTGACTTTTGACAGTTGTCAAAGGAAGTCTGCAAATAAACCTCATGCTAACGAAGCTGGAAAAAAAAAAAATCATTACTTTGACCTTATGCAAGTGATACTACTTTAACAATTTTTCTTCTCACCATACTTTTATTTCTCTCTTACCTAAATCACAGACAATTTAGCAACTGTAGACTAACATAAGGGGTTGAAATAAGTAAGGGGAGAGTGTGGGGAAGAGAGTGTTTTAAGAAATGAAGGTATGGCCTCAATATTTTTAGAAAATTAAAAATGTTTTAATTAATTAAAAAATTAATTTAAAATTAAAAAAAAATCCCCAGAAAGCCTTCCATCCAAAAAACCATCCCATCTCCTTACAGATCAGAACTGTTATCTAGTTTCTGCCTAGATATAATGGGGGCAGGGTTGGTATAAATCAGTATAATTTACCCCTAAGGTTCTTTTCAATCCTTTTCAATTCTAAACCTGAGTTTTGGATTTAGAATCCAATTCAGAATTGGATTCAAAAGTGCAGCCCCCAACATACCAAAGTTCTACATTCCTCCACCCTCTCTTCAAAATAGTAAGTAAGTAAGTAAATATCTCACCCTCTATTTCACCCTCCATCTCTGCGATGACCTAGTTCTGCAAGGAGAAAAGCAGCACTGGGGGGTATGCCAGTGTGAGCAACGGTACTGTTCTTGATAGGAGGCTCTGGCAACCAGAGCAATGTCTAACTCAGCTGGCTTCAAATCGTTTCATAATTCTGGGGGGCTCTGAATTTCTGTCTTTGGCCCTCAGTAGACTAACCTAGGAAAGCAGACTGGTAGGGGGAGAGAGTGAAAAAGTGAACCAGGCCCCGTGACAACATTTCAGATGCTGGGGCGTGCAGGCGTGGAGTCTCATGTTTATTCTTTGTGATTGGGACACAGCTGGCTTTGAATTAGAACATTAAATATACAGCACCACAGTTTGGTCTCTGGCCCGGCCTCTGGTTTGTGGCACTAGGCCATTCGCCTCTGCCAGCCAGGCCCTGGCTCTGGTTCTTCTACACAGGGATTACCCCTCATCTTGCAATCACACCTGTTAGGTGTTTCTCCTCCGCCCCAACAAACACCTCCCACACCGCGCGGAACCCGGGTGCAGAGGGGGCGGGGGGAAGAGGGGAAAGGGGGTGGAGAAGCAGGGCCCGGCCTTAGCCAGCGGACCCCCTCGGGACTGGGCTTCGGAGGGTGGGTCGGAGAGGGGACCCTGCGAAGGCGGGAGCGGTGGAGAAAGACGGAGAGGAGCATGGGGAGGGCCGGGGAAAGGGGCGTCGCTGCTCGCTTTACGCTTCAAGAGCCCGCCGCCCAGGCGGCGGGGCTGAGTGGTGGAGATGGGGTTTTGCAGCAGCCTCTGCACTCCTCTTCGCAGCCCCAGCACCACCACCCCTCGCCGGGCCGCGGCGCCGGTTAGGCCACGCAGAGTGAGCGCGGGCGCCGGCCGGCTGCTCCTCACCCAAGACTGGAGGGCAGGGCGCGGTGGGTCCGCGGCAGGGGGACTCCGCGAGTCGGGCGACCCGCGGTGTCCCGAGCACACCAGCTCCGGCTGCCACCCGGCCGCGGCCGGAACGGAGCTCCCTGCGCGCCCCCCCGGGGGCCGGCAACGACCGGGAGGCGGCGCGGCGCGGCGCTCGGCCCGTCGGCCCCGCAGCTCCACGCACCCAGCGGCGGCGGCGGCCCGGGCTCGGGTGCCCGGGCAGCCTCTGAGCCCATGGCGGGCAGCGATGCGGATGGCGAGGGTCGCGCGCGAAGGAGCAGCGCGCCCCGGCGTCCTGGGGAGCCCTGTGGGCCGGGAGGCGAGACTGCGGCCAGCGGCCCAGAGCCGCTGTCCACTGCTGAAGCGCCGGCCGACGGCGCTGCGCTGCCCGCCTGGATGCGCCTCTACTTCTACGGGATGCACGGGATCACCCTGGACGTGCTCGTGTCCTCGGCTCGGCGCTTCGCTAGCAGCCCGGACCTCCGGATGCTGGGCTTCTCCTCGCCCTATCGCTGCCTGCTACACTCGCTCACCCACTTCGCCCTGGAGAAGGTCTACCTGCAGCAGCGGCGCTGCCCCAGCGCCTTCGTCTTCAATTTTCTCCTCTACCCCTCAGCGCACGTGGCACTGCAGACCCTGGCCGGCCAGGCGCTGCTGCTCGGCCTGCGCAGCGGGCCGGGGGGCGCGGCAGTGCCGGGGACACTGGACCTAGCGCTGCAGTACGTGCTCGCTCTCTACCACTGCCATGTGTTTCTGAACCGCTTCCTGCGCTTGCGGTACCGGCGGCTGCCGGAGCAGCAGCAGCAGCAGCAGCGTGGGCCGGGCGCGCCCCCTGCCCCTCGGGGCGCCGGGACCCCTGTGGTTGCAGGTGGCCCGCGCCACCTACCCCGAGGCGGCAGGGGCGTCGGGGGAGCCCCCAGTCACGGGCTGCCGGGCCTGCTCCGCTTTCTTTTCTTCGGAATGCACGGCTTTTTGGATGAGATCTTCTTCACTTTCTTCTTTAATTTACTGGGGCAGGGAGATGGGGTAACCAGCGGCCACACGTCGCTCTGGTCCTTCTTTATGTACGGCAGCTGCAGTTTCGTGGTGGAAAAGCTCTACTTCCATCTCCACTGGAGTCGTGGCTGGAGCACTTGGAAGCGGATACCCATCTACGTGATCTTCATCTATGTTTGGGAGTTGTCCTGGGGTCTGGGACTCCGCATGTGCGGCGCTTGTTCTTGGGACTATTCTCACTATCCGCTCAATTTCATGGGCCTCATCACCCTGATGTATTTACCTGGTTGGATATTCCTTAGTGTGTACCAGGACCTACTTTTCAACGTGTTATGGCGGGTGCAGTACATACCAACTAACTAACTAAAAAACAAAACAAAACAAAAAGCCACTCGATTCCCACGAACCAATTCGATTTATTTTTACATGTTAAAACGGAGTGGGTTTTTTAGCCTTTTAATTTTTATACATTTTACTAAACTCTTTCAATATGTTCTATTCGACATTTTAGTTTTTCTGACACTTTGGGACCTATGCATAATACAATATTTTGAAATATTACTCAAAACATAACTCAAACATAACTTGTCAATATTTTAAGACCCCTTACGAGCCCAGATAGCAAAACCGTTATACCTTAACATCAGGAGCTGTAGTATATTCACTTATTTGGGCATAGGTGGGTGATAACTACTAATCTTTTTTTAAGCAAAGAAGTTATTCAAATCAGAAATTACTGATCATTGCGAGATTTGGCGAAATTTTCTAATTTAACGATTTGTTTACTTTTTAATACAATTTCATTTTAATTCCCTGCCATATTTACCAATCACTGCTGAAACTCCGTGTCTTGCACTGATAAAAGGACCATTAACAACTCTTAAAGTGCCTCCCTCTAGCACACAAGTGGAAAGAAACTGACAAATGTGAAAATACATCCTGTGGATCGATTTTTAAATAAGAAATCTTTTCTAGCAACTCAGACAGGCAACACTGTGTTAAGAAACTTGATCTCCATCCTGGAAATGATTGTTTTTCCAATGTGGATTAGCCTTAAACTAATGCCAAGTGTGTTAACATTGATCAGATCCTGTGTTATCTATAGCTGTAAATTTTGTTCTAAAATGTTTACCTTATATGCCCAAAGGCGAAGCAAAATTATACCACCCTCAATAGTATTCTAACTCTAAGGACTCTTTCTACATGAAGTTTCAAGGATAGAAGCAGTTCTGTAGAATAAAATGAACCTGAATCTTCATTATACTCGAATTGGGCCTAATTGTTTACTGTTAAGTGTTTTCAGTGTATTTCTGTCATGGCTCACTTGTAAACATCTTTCTTTTTCCTTCTGGACCCACAGAGTTCTTGGGCCAAACCTGATGTGCTGATGTGCATTATAAATCAATGATAGCATTTTGGTGACTCATTATTAATGTCTGGAAGCTCCAAAGTTACATGAGATGATAAAAAACATTTTAAGAAATCTTGTCTAATCAATTAATAATGTCCTTTAAGGTTGTTTGTTGTTTTATTATATTTAGAAAAGGCAAGTAGAATTGAGTATAGCTCAGCCAAGGATGACTAATACTTTCTCAGTTTTCATTACAAAGATAATTGGGAAAATTTAGAGGGTGTACAAATGAATAGTTTCCACTTCAAATTATTAGCTTGTCTATGCTATGAAAGGGGACTTCTTTCTGTTTTCAAAAAACGCTTGCTGTGGCAGTAGAAACGAATATGTCCTTAGGCGATTGTCAGAAATAATTTCAAGAAGGCTATTTTAATCCACTGTCTGAGGTTGTGAGCTAAATTGTTAGTAATGCAATATAATCAACCCTACTTGTGAGATGGATCATGTTAAACTGATTATTAGCTGAGTAGCAACTAATAAAAGTAAGCCAAAGGTTTGTGGAAAGTAAAAGTGTCACTTTCTGACACTTGGCCATAGGTGAAGGATTTCTGAAAACCCTGGTAAGGGAAAAGGATAAGTATAGACACTAAAGTTAGTCAGATGCTACATAAAATATTTGTAATACAAATGTGACACGTGCGTAGGAATCTGGATTAAGTATGGTACCATTCCACACCACGTATTCCTGTGACTTAACCAAATCCTTGACTTCTAGAATACTTGCTAAACATACACGTTTGCACTTCCGTCGTCCTTCCGGTGCCGCTCCTCCGCCCTGCTCACCTGCTCACCGGCATTCTTAGGGTCAGAAATCTGTCAGAAGTAGGGAAGCTTCTTACGTTTTGTTTGTTTTGCTTTTAATGTTAATCCTATTTTAAAGAAAAGGTTGCAGTTTACATTCATTCAAGAAACCGTTATTGTGTACCTACTCTTTGCAAGGCATTTGCCTGAATTCTGCAGATACAGCAATGACCCAATACAGACAAAATCTCTGTCCTTGTGAAGCTCAGGTATTAGTGCTCTGATTTATAGCAGGTTATACCTACTTGGAAGGGTACCGTTTCAGTACTGGGCAAAGAGAGGCAGTTGCCAGGAGGGTTCTCATCAGGGCTGTCGCTGGAATATCAATCTATCATCTCTAAAACAAAAGCCCATTAACAACCCCTCTGCTAGTTCTACAAAGACTTCATTCATATGTAGTCAGGAAGTGATTATGCTGTCTATTAACTCAGCACCTTGCTGTAGGGCTTCTCATTCTGTTTATTCAATTTCTTAAATGACATTTTGCTATAACTGAAACTTTAAAGAAAAAAAGGGCAAGAACCATTAGATCAATTTTGTTAACTCACTAGCCGTTCAGATATAGAAGTGCTGAGTCAATAAAATAATATTTAAGTAACACCACCTGCCAAAAAATGCTGCTGTGTTACATATATAAAATCTGAAGTAAATATATGTATGTCTCCATGTATATATCTTAAATAAATATATATCTCATATATATATATCTTAAGTAGATACATATAATCTTAAGTAAATATATATCCATATATATTTTGAAGTAATACATACATTAAAATATATATTTCTTAACTACAAATATATACACACATACATATATATACATCAGAGACACATGAACATATTTATTTAAACCTCTAGCAACCCTCTTTTTACAGATGAAGACAGTGAAATTAAAGCCTGAAGAGGTTGACTTGTAGCTCAAGTCATACAGCTATTGAATATTATGATGTAGGAAAAGATGTTAGGGTTCGAAGCCAATGGCCAAGACCGAATTCCTGAGAAAACTTTGGAGCGAAAAGGTGGTTTTATTAAAGCAAGGGGACAGGTTCCCTGGGCAGAAAGAGCTGCCCTGGGGTCATAAGGAGTTCAGAGGAGGTTAGGGATAGCTTAAGATAAAGGAATTTTGGAAGCAAGGTTTCCAGGACCTTGAGGAGGCTACCTATAGTTGGGAAAAGGTCATTAATGACCATCTAGTTAAACCTTAGTCATGAGACCCTTCAGATATATTTGTGGGCCATATGCTTGGGGGATGATTGCCAACACACATCTTGGGGGGTTTAGAGATAAAGGAATTTTCTAAAGGTATTTTTATATGTAAAGATAGACTTATAGGATCCTGTGGGTTGGGTTAAGGTTGCCTTTTTGCCCTTAGCAAAGTACTAACATTGAGGCAGCTGAGTCCCCTGAGCAATGTCACTCTGCCTGTTTTAAGGACTTGTCAGTGGACTGTGGGTAGTAGGGAAATTTAATAATTTTTCTTTTGCCTTCGTTTCCCACATCATTTAGACTTGAATTCAAGTACACTGTACTCCATGGTCTGTTCTTAACAGCAACACTGTCATACCTCTGTCTACTGACATAGTGATTTTTGGATGTTCTGTGGATTTCACCTTACAATTTGTATTACTCTTCCCTTTCAGTATCACAGATGCAAGGGTAGACGTTTCAAAGCCACGCACTAGTAACAAAAACATTCTATTCCTTGGAAAATCACAAGGGAGCTAATACCAGGATCCATAACTGAAAACAGTCTAGCTCTAATCCTTAGATGATAGTCTTTATATTCAAGCAGGGTCTGAAAGGGAGTTCTTCATTTGAACTTTGACAATCTTTTTGATATAAGAATAATACAACAAAAGGCATGATACCTTATATCACAAGTTAGGGAAAATACATACAATGATTGCTACATGTTTAACATAGCACTTGGAATGAGCAACATTGTAAGAGCTAAACAGCCCAAAAATTAAAATTAAATTGTTTACAACAACATTTATTCTGAGTTCAATTAAACACCTTAGAGTTAAAGAGAGTCTTTACAGAAAATATGGGAAAAATTAACAAGTATGAGTTTTGCTCCATGTTTAACTTATACAATACTGAAATTTTCTTATAAAAGTGCTTTAAATTTTAAATCAATTCTATCTGGGCACTGAATCTAGAGAAATATGACCTTTCCAGTTTTTCATGTCAACAATAAACATGAAAGTTTTTAGGTTCTGCAGAGACACCAATAAGGTTGATAATCCATTTCAATATTTCAGACATTTCAGTGACTCACTGTACTTAACTTAGAATATTCTATCAATATTTGACATTTCATGTTTCAACCCAGCAAAACACAGATTAGAAAAGTATGATGTCCTTTGTTGTTTAAGAAACCTTTCTAATTGGTTAATCCTATCCTTCTGAAAAAATAATTTTTCTATACTGTTTTAAAATAGACTGTTGGCATAATGGACTTGGTTTTGTTTAAGAGAGATGGCGAAGAATTTTGATAGACTGTTTTGGTTCTGTTTCCACTTCCAAAATACATTTAAAAATCAATAAACTTGGAAAGGAAGTTATATTCATGCTACAGACTTGGAGTGACAAATAAATCATTGTATTCTAATATCTGAAAGCGTTTTAATAAAATCAATTTTTTGTTTATATTAAAGGCATTAAAGACACTTTATATTTTAAATTAATTTTAAATATACTGTCTCCAATATATTTTCCAACCGTGCTTAGTAGAACTAAGCTCCTTTACTGAGGGAAAATAAAAGAAACACTCTTCCCCTCCCTTGATCAAGCACATGCCTCAGTTTATGCTAAAGGGAAAGATGGCAGTAAAAGATCGTTCTGTTGTGTTGCCAGGTTTTTTTTTTTCTTTCTATTCTTAGACTTGGTACCAGAGGAACCAACAAAATAGCAATTGTTTGTGCAGACTTCTATTCACTAGAAGTGGCCTCATTCTGATTTTTAACATTGAGACATGAAACCATTACATAGGCAGTGACGTCCAGACACTAGCAACCCAATTATAAATTAAACTGGGATGAGTGTAGAGAATCTTTCCCTAGAGACTTTTTCTCTTAATATACAGGAGAATATAAATTTAGAGACTTTTCCCCTTAATTTGTAAATTCTTTTTGCAGTGATAGTCAATTCTTAGACC